ACTTGCATGAACATTTCTTCAACATCTACAGGGATTGCAACTGCCTCCTTGCGAAAACTTATTAATATACACCTTAACTCAGCAGTGGTATCAGGTTCTTGATAAATCATATCATTTGGGGGAACCCCTGCAAACTGGGCGGCACAATCAAGGACCACTCTAAGATCTGGTTTTTTCATGTTTAATACTGCACGATGAGGTAAATACCATCGAGGGCGATAATAAGATTGCAGATATATTTCAAAGACCCTCTCCGCATAAGTCTTAGTAAAATCACTTTCAGTACTTTTGATATACTTGATGTGCAGACTGACATCCTTCGACAACATACCCTTCAAACTTTGTAATCTACTGTTTGCTACTTCATAGTTATCCACTTTCATATCTGGATTCTTTTTCCAAGGTATAGAAACTACAAAATGACCGTTGCCGAAGCGCGTGCCACCTTCCACAATCTTTATAGCCATCTTGTCGTCTACTGATAATGATTTATCACTTGAATAAGCATCTGAAAACTCTACGTCATAAGGCTTACGTATTTCGTTCTCTAATGTCTGTATCTTACTGGTATGATTAACAACTCTTTTCCTATATTCCGGGCATGATGGCTTATCATTTACGACGTTGCTTGTCGAGTCAGTGTGCAGCAGAGCGTGATGTCTCCTCTCGCAACTGTCAACCTTACAGAGCCTTGTCATCTTACATTCATTAACCTTATGTCCTTGTCTAAGACAGACGAAACAGATACCCTTGCTTTTAGCGTGAGACCATCGGTCTTGCACTGTAAGCGCTAAGAACTGTGGACATTTATCAATGGCATGGTCGTAGGAACACATACTACATTTAGTTTTCATTGTCGAACTATTCCCTTGCTCTGATTGCACGTGACAGTTAGTCTTTACGTTATGTCCTTTTCTAGAACGGTTTGCTAACCGTCCAAATCTACTACAAGCCACTCTCGCACACGATGCGATAAACTGAGTGAGCTCGTCGAAGGTCGGTTCTCTGTTATCTTCAGTCAATTTATCCACCCAGTCCGCCCACTGGGCTTGCATAGGTTGAGGCAAGAGTCTCACTATTCTTTCCAAGGTAACTAAGGAATTTAGATCAGAAGTATAATTCATTTGTTCCAAGACCATGGCACAGTTTTCCATCTTAATAGCCAAATTTGATAGTTGGTCCCCGTCAATATACTCAAAATTCACAGCACTGAATAAGTCCTCTAGTGTTTCTCGAGCAATTACGTGAGGCTGTCCGAAAAAACGTTTTAAAATCTCCCTTGCTCTTTTATAGCCAGAGGATGCCTCCATCATGACGCAACCTTCAATAGCTGTTTTAGCCTTGCCCTTACAGTAGTGTATCAAATAGAGTAAGCGCTGGCTATCATCCGTGACTCTTGACGCTACATACGTCTCAAATTGCCTTATAAATTTCCAATAACCTCTTGGCTCTCCATCGAAATAACTCAGTTCAACCTTTGGTAGCTCTGGGCCAACAACATGGACTATAGGCGACATGCTCTTTCCTAGTAATTCAGGCCTTTGCTCCTCCCTTAAACTAAGATTTTTTACATCAACTGACATCGAATTAAGGCTAGAATCACTGCCATGATAATTAGCCCTATTTAAGTCTGAACCATGACCCTTAAGGACGTCAAAAGACACTTGCTTGACAATAGGGGATTCTTCGTTAACATCGACGAACTTTGAGCCTGATCTCCTTCGACGATTAACTGGCATTATAAGCGACACGACCAATTATTTCCAGAAAATCCGTGAACGATTACCAAAGGATTTCGGCCAAGTAATATTTGTTTAGAACTGTAGGATCCAAACCACGTTTTGGACTTTGCTGGACAGCTGCCTGGATAAGTTGGATACGCGCCCTTGCCCGTTGAAACCAAACAAGGTAATTGGGTAAGTAGCGGTTCTAAACAAATATAACCACACAGCTATCCAACCAATAATTGTTTAATTGATCAAATCTAAACAATCACCACAAATAAATGTTATTCTATCCTGTCTGGATAGATCACGTACAGATTCGTCCAAAAGGTAATAATTGGTCGCTCTATAGCACAGAGTGTTTTCAATTCTGGAAGAGTGCTTCAATTCACAACCAAAATGCACAATTCCAGTCAACACAGGTCAAGCAATCAAAAGCAGGAACCAACCAAAATGGCTGCCGCTCAGACTTAGTATAAAGTAAAACAACATAAGTGCAGTTCGGGAAGAAACATGGGGAATTGGTGAAGGTGTAGTAAAAACGAAACTATAATAAAATAAGAATATTAACAATTCAAATGTAGTCAAAAAGTTAACAATGTACAACTAAAAGAATCAATAGGAACAAAGTGTAAGTATATACATGGAGGGATTTTCACAAACACACAAGGCACTCAAAATGTATCTTACAATGTATATGCTTGAACAGGTCAAAGGTCATTTGGTGTTAGACTTAAGGGAACATAAAGGATGGGTGGTGTAATAGTCGGGTGAAGCTCAGAAGCATATAAAATAAATTGTGTGATAATTCTAGATGTAATGAATAAATCAGTGAATTAAGAACTAATAAGATAAGTGAAGACAATCTGAAGAGTTAACATAATTTAGCAAAGAAGTGTGAGTGGAAGGGTGGTCTAAGGATTACGTAATCCATCTTATCAAGGAACTAGCTGCATGAAATTGTCTAGTTCCATACTAATACTAACTTGATAATGGACGTAATCTGACAACGGAAAATATGTAAGGCGGTTGTTTAATCTGTAAGGTTTTACGTGGAAGTCGCATTATTGTTTTATTTGACTCGTTGATTCCTCACAATGAACAACGATATAACGCTAAGTTCTAACGACAGTTCGTAACTAATACAGTAGTACAAATTCTTAATTTTCACACACAATTATTCGTTAAAGCGATTGGTACACCTCCCCATGAAAGTATGAAGAAGACGAAAATAAAAAATGAGAAAAAGTTTATTGATTTTTCATGACTACTAAAGTGGAAAGATAAGTTTACAAGTTGTATAAATAGTGGTCTAAAATAAAGCCACAAAGAACTGTTAATCGTAAACCTGCTGTCTAGCTGTTTATAATTCTTTAGTAAAAATTGTAGACTTTTCTCTCCACCTGATTCGCGAAGCGTTCACCATATTTCTCAACAATTTGTTGTTTGCACATTCTTTGGAGCCGTTGAAGTTGTATATATTCTTTACTCCGTCTCGGTAATGAAATTCCTGTGTTGTCTTGTAAATTGTGCGTATTGTCTAATTTCCATCTGCAGCAACACCTAAGAAGTTGATGAGCTATGCAGTTTATATTTTATAATTTAAATAGCTTACCTGTTAGATTTCGTCTTTTAATATATGCCAGCAGGAGATGGCGGCACGGATATCGACACATATTAAACGTGCTACAATTGCATTCACAAATACTTACATCCACTTCGTAATGAAAGGCGCACAAAATAATGTTTGCATGCCCGTGCGTTATACGGACAGCCGCGCTTTGAGATCGTGCGCAATCCATCACAAATGTTTCTGTTTTGGTCGTGTTACCCATTATCTCCTTGAATTTATCCAAAATCCACGTAACATCGGCACGCTTTTCTTTTTGTGTCCATGCAAACATAACAGTTCGACCTCGACTCCAATTGTCTGTCACCACTAACTGGAATAATGAATATCTACATAGTAGAACAGAACGAAAATCATATTCACTTTTATTATTAGTTTTATAAGTAGAATCAATACACACGACTTCGGGATATTGATTGTACAGCTGTATCTGATCATAACTGCTGAAGCATATCGCCGTAATACATCCATTTTCTGCATGCTCTCTAACTCCACCGTTTTGTCGCATCATCTGCAATACCTGCTTCCGAGTCCAACCTGAAATATATTTATATACACTTACCAGTGGAGAGTTCAGCTTTCATATTTTTCACATCAGCAGCGGTCACCTGCTTACCTGTTCTTTCCTTAATACTTTCGATAACTTCGTCCGTCGACTGACAGTGCAATATAACTGGTTTCAAGTTTTCTTTTTCTTCTGATGACAATCGTCTACTCAACTGATCACAAACCATCCACGAACTAGTACACGGATGGTTGTGAGACATGTTGTAAGATTTTATAACGTATTGTTGACCCTCCAATCTTACGCGGAACATCGATTGGCAATTCAAAAATTTAGACCTTAAATGTAACACATTAGTTAGAGTCCTCACGGTTTTTTATTCACATTCAGACCTTCTGATTTACGTTTACGACCAAACGTGCAACGAAACACTACGAACAAGTATTTATATCTCACATTCTTCGACAATCTACTTTCTGCGTGAACATAGTGTGTATGGGTCATCTGAGAAAACATAGATTTATCCTATCATACTTTATGGAAATCCTTTAGCGCATTATCTAATTCAATCCAGCTTCCGAATCTCTTGTTCAGCATAATACGTTCGAACGCGTCGCTTACGTTCACTGAAATTTCACTTGAGCATGAAGCACTAGAGACAACATACAATAGTTATTAAAAAAAGGTTATTCCTTGAAAAAAATTAACTGAAGGAAGAACAACAAATATTTAGGACTTACCCTTCAGTTGACATTTCGTCTTAACTCACAAAAACTAGGCGCATCTATAACCTTTTACGTTATTTTATCTTTCTTACGTTGTTTTCTGGACCTTATCAACAAATTATAGATAGCTGTTGACTTTCACTACAGCACTTAGGACCACAGATCAAGTTTCAAAGGAACTACAGAGATAAAGTGTGCACTACAAAACAGAAAATACTCAGTTAATGCTCTTAGCAGTTATTTAGTGTTTATTATGCATCAAAATATGACTTTTATATGTAAACATTTAATACTCATAGGACCCAACACACACACGGCAATTGAAATACGGAATGCCCGCTTTCAGTCAGCGCGTTCAAGGTCGTTGAAACGAAACGGCGGACAGATTTGAAAGGGATTACCGTTTTTACCTTGCCGATGGCGTTCTCTGAAGGTGATTTTGAGAAAGGGAAGAAGCTCTTCGTTCAAAGATGTGGACAGTGTCACACCGTTGAGAAAGGTGGTCCACACAAAGTAGGACCCAATCTAAATGGTTTGTTTGGACGTAAAACTGGTCAAGCTCCCGGGTATACCTACACTGCTGCCAACATTAGTAAAGGTAATCTCCAAAAGCTTTTGTTTGTTGTTATTTTTTACTTCACTTCAATAGAAAGATTAAAGTGAATAAGTCATTGTTTAAGTTTACAGGAATCATAGTTCGCAGAGACAGATCAATGGGTTCCCACAACATATAGAAGTGGGGATTCATCGACGAAACAAACAGAAAGTTTCTTAATTCTGAACCTTATTGATAGATGCGTTGCTAGCTTTCGCAAGCTTCAACAACTACCATATAATCCATTATTCGTCACAGTCGTATCAGTTCAGTAATCTCAAAAGGTGACTTGTTCGCATAAGGGGGTTCAGATTTTTCACTCGAGACATGGACAATTCCAAATCATCGAATTTTCCGTTACATAGCATCTTGTTATGAAAATCCATTCTTTTTCACCACTACTTAAATACTGCTTTCTTGCTAACCTTCCTAATTTCTATCCATTTATCCAAATTGTATCAACCTTGACTAATTCATATCTGTGATCGTTTTGACCTTAAATGCGACTGCCCCTTGGGATTATGTCTATGGAACTGAGTTCGCTATTCCTCGATATGTAGTGGAACAAGTGGGTTGTTTTCAGCTTGATACGGTTCATCCAGAATGATATGTTTCAGCGACCACTCGTGTCCTAGGATAGAAACTATGGGTGGTCCTATTGCGGTCCTGATATCTCAGCTTGAATATTTCCACTTTTATGTTGACATGGCTTGTTTCGCCTTTATTTCATTCCAAACGTAACTTCCGATGTCTAAATTTTGCATGACTTTATTTTATTTTATTTAAACACCAAATGATTATGCGCCACATAAATCATTCGGTTTGTGTGAAGGCTAGGATACTCCCAGGGTGCCCAAACCGAATCAGATGGTTCTCCTAGAGGGCTACATCCAAGCCTTTGACCTAAAGGTCTGATCCACAAGGCAGTGGAGCAACGTAAGGATGTGCAGTTCCGTGGTAGCTGGTGACCAACAATACGTTCGTACGCCATTTGTTCCCTCAGGATTCTGGAGCCCATATGCACTATCAGTTTATAATCAGAGTTTTCCAACTCCCGTGTTCAACTCCGTATCCACCGACCCAGTTAAAGTGCCGGACTTCCCTGACAGTGGTTGTATGCATGTGGACATGTGAGCATTTTAAGAGGGAGAATTGACTCTCCCCACTCTCGGCCGTACCAGGGCATGACTTCCTAATCATGATATAATATTTTCTTTACCGAATTCTAATCTCCTGATTCCCCTTTGTCTCTTTTTTCTCTTCCCAAATTTATTTCACTGGATTATACTCTTTAAATAACATCTACAAACCCTACTCTTTCCGATTACTGCTTATACTCCTACTACCTGTACCACCACGGGATTTGAATCGACAACTGCATCTCTGTGCTAATGTGGTATGGCAACTCGAACTGATGTACGTACGAAGTTCTACGTTGTTACTGACTGACTGTTAAAACTGCCCTTCGATTGATGATGCCTAATTACTTGTATTTTATACACCCATTCGCTGATCCAACGGATTTTATTCTTATGACTTCTAGTTACCAGTACATTGTGTCCGTCTAGACTGTGTATAAAAGATGTAAGTGGGATTGAAAAATTACGTTGATTTCGGAAATTATTTACTAGTGGTAGCAAACGATTACGTACTATAACAATCTTCTGTTCACAAACCTGAACAAGCATTTATCGTCAGTCTCCAAAGATTATCTGTGTTTTACGAATAACTGGTAATTTTCACTTATGCAAACTTGTGAGAGATTTTTTACTAACAATATTATTATCGCATAAACCATCAATACGGTTGCTAATTCATTTAATATTTAATAAAGTAAGTCAAGTATTTAAGGTGTAAATATTCTTTTTGCTTCTTTATTTCATGAACCACTATTTCCACTTATATTATCAATTCTTTCATTATTGCTTAGGCATCATATGGAATGAGCAGACTCTATTTGAATATTTGGAAAATCCAAAAAAGTATATCCCTGGTACAAAGATGGTGTTTGCTGGTTTAAAGAAGGAAGCTGATCGAAATGATATTATTTCCTACCTTAAAGAAGCAACAAAATAAGAATATTCTAAATATCTGACTCCTAGATTTAACTTCGTTGTAGCAGTTCTTTAATTAACTAAATGTGTATAAATACATAAAACCTGAGCTTCCAAGTACGTGAAAATGGATACTCTTGGCTGTGTATTTCTGATCTCTTCTGAGGTCAATATACTATGATTATTCAGTTTCTGAGATTTTTGTAAAATTAATACTAGTGCAAATATATTAACATAATAATGAAGTGTTTATCTAATTTCTTCCGTGTATTCGGATACAATAAGCTTCAAATGTCCTTATTGCTATTATACTGTTTGCCAATAGTTTCCGTTTGTTTTCAGTCACTGCTCAAACTAATTCCCAGTGGAATAATAGCTTGGTGGTTGAATTGATTGGAGCCATATAATCTCAGGTTCACATACTACTTTTGTTTAGGTTGTCGGCGGTTATGTTTCTCAGTTTAAACTTAAATAAGTTTTAGTTATGCTTATTCGCTTCACAGTAAATTTCGAGTAAGAATATTTCATCTCATCGACTAAAATCAACAGAAAAAGTGGTCGTCCTGACAAAACAACTGGTTGCAGCAACAAGAGGGATATAAATTTGGATTCTGACATACATCCTACCGAACTTAGTATGACGGCATATTTAATTCGTTTGCTTTTGCCATTATCAAACAAACTTAAATCTGTTGTTTGAAATAATAGTTCTATGTAAATCAGGTGAATGGAATTGCTTTTAATTACAATTTTAGGTAGCTTTTATGTTTACACACACTTCTCACAATTTGAGTTGTACGTCCCCATTATTTACTATTGGTCACTCTCATTCATCTACTTCGAATATAATTGATATAAAGATGAGTTTCTAAAGTAGAATATCTGTCGACATTCAGATCAGTATGTACTTCGAATAGGACTTACTGGGTCGAATAGCCACTCGCAAAATACTTACCAGATGTTCATGATGTGATTTCATTAAACCATTATGCCTCGTCATTTTTAACTCCACGACGATATAAGACTTTTTTATTGATTTTTATATATTCATAATCTCAGGTAATCTTAAAGTAATTCATTAGGATTTTAGACGGTTTAGTCTGTAGAAGTAATCATGATGGACAAAATAGAGTCTATACAGGTCTCTACGAGTCACAACCAACAACTGAGTTTATGTGGGTATTTTTGAGTCTGTTTTATGTGTTCTCAGGAAATAGCCCATGCGTTGAGGAGTAATTCTTAAATAGAAGTGTGAATTGAACTGGAAAATCCAAAACTAAACATATATACTTTCCTAACAGAGCGATCAGTTAAATTACCTACTTATTAGCTTATCAAAGCATTCAGCAAATTTTGGAATTGTTTCTAGAATAGACCTACTGTCTTTCTAAACTCACATAGATGATCGATTGAAGATGTAAATAAATAAATATCAAAAAATCTAAATTGGATAAAGATATTACGATGTACTGAAGGACTTCGATTTCTGATCTAACCTTCGTCGATTCTACTGCATAGAAAGAATTTTAACTGGTTTAATAAATAAGCACTTTCGTCTAGATATTAACGAGTAGTTTCACAGTATTTGGGCGCCGAGTTAATGTGAGACATTGAAGAGGAAAAATGTATTTGTAAAATCTCACCAAAAGAAATTTGAAGTAAATCCAACTTTTCGCCTGGCAATCTGGTCCAAGCTTTTTCAAGGAAAATATAATCAAACGTCAAAATTACCGAATATAAATAGGTACATGGTTCTCTGGTTTACCAGAGAAAAGCTTGGATCAAATTGCCAAGCAAAACGTTGGATTTGCTTCAAATTCTTTCGCTGAGATTTTACAAATACATTCTTCCTCTTTAACTGGTTTGATATCTTGAAAAAATAACGTAAGTGTCGTCAAGCCTTAAAGACATTTCAAGTGCTTGCTGCTATGGAGCCCTACTTGGGAAAATTACCCTTTTGACACTTAGTGGCTTTTGTTGTACCTCTAGCAAATATCAGTTGGTGGAAAAATTGCTCAACTAAATAGGAATATCTAATTATGTGTGTAGTTTCAAAATAATCAACCTAGACATTTAAACTAGCTTAAATCAATTACACCAATTTATCTATATTTAACCGTACGACTAAATAAGTTAAACCTCATACAATTCGTGAATGATGCAGATCAAATATTGGGATGAAAAGGTTTCAAAAGGATTGCGATGATCAAATAATCTGAGACGTTATTTCATCTGTTACTTAACATAAGTCATGTTAGTAGAGAACAAAGTACGGTTGTAACCTTTTGTAAATATTGGTTTCCTCCTACTGTTGGGATCTTATATAGTCTCAATCTAGAAAAGGGCTATCGAATGGTAGTTAAGTGATGTCGAATATGTATTCGAACAGCTATATTTTTGCGTTTCTATTGTGTAACGTCTCTTATGGAGCTATGAACAGCTTACCATTGGTATTTTGACAACTGGCTAAAGAGTCAGAGCCACTTTAAAACAACAATCTGTAATGAAGTATACTGTGATCACTATTATCTATAGGGTTCAGGAAAGTTCATTTTTTGGTGAGCAAACAACGCTGAGAGGTTCACAGGACTTCCCATAAAGGTAGTCGAAAAGTTCCTGGACTTTCATTTCAAAACGTTTTTCATCAAATGAATTTTGTTCTCTTGATGTTACACTCGTGAAACCTAGGTCGGTTTATTAGTTTCTGAATGTATAATAATATAATATCCGAATTTACATTTCCATACTGAGGTAAGAAATTGATGAGAATTCCAAGTAAACCGTGTGTTCCCACTAGTCTCAACTATTGTACGCTGGTCACAAATTCTTCATACTTTGTAAAGCAGATAGAATATGGCTACCGGTAGGTTTCGTCCCGCTTGGGGCTCATCGGCTGAATATATATGCATTCGTGTGCTGATCTTCATATCGGGACATAAAATCAGTACCTTTCTCTTCACAACTTGCGAAATAATGGTTATATCAAGGTAATCGGCACTGGGTGCACATATGTCAACTAAAACTGAACAGAATCCAGTCGAAAATATCAACAACCAGATAGTTTAACCCTTTACGAATGAAATTGACTGTTTTGTGTTACTTTTCCTATAACTATACGCCACATGCTTTGAATATCTGCAGCCGAATTAGTGACTTGATTCTCCCCATAACACGTTTAACAAACACTAACTGTTTGGATGTAAGGATGATTGATTAAGATTGCGATTTGAAAAAAAATTGGTTATCCTAAAGCAACAAAATGTTGGTTGCATCAGTTGTGATTCTGTCAATAGGAGATATTTATTTGCTAGTATGCACTCGTTGATATTAGTTAGTTTTAATGTCTTAGATGCTAGTACAAATTAGTTTTTCGCTATACACACCAAAGTACATTCGACTGCCACCGCGATTTTGAAAATGCCAAAGAGATCCCAGCAAAAAAGATATTTCTTGGAGTTACTTCCCAGTATGATAGATTCTTCCATCTAATAAATCATGTGCACACTAGTGAATCAACTACTTGAGAAAATTACCAGAGAACACCTATCTTAAAACAGTTATCATACCACAAAATATCCCAAATACTAATAAACATATGTTACTGATGTATTATGTGTCATTTTGAAAATTTTGTCAGATATACTCAAGGTAAACCGTGAAGTGTATCAAACATATGAAAGTGGTCATATTAGGACCAATTAAATAATAAACGACAAATAGAACCATACGATGGTGAGTCACACGAAGTATTAATTTAGTGGTCGGAGATTCAGACTCTGCTCAACTTACTTGGATCTTGAGAACCAGAAAGATTCACTAACCTTAACAGATAAAAGGTATGATCCAACTTCCGAGCAAATTACCCTGTACTTCACAAAAGAACAACGTTGTATCATTATAGTTTTACATGTTCGGAAGCAATTATCCGAATACATTTTTAGGTATTTGATAACTATTTAATGTTAGTAAACTAGTTCTGAATGAATATTTTTGGTTTCTGGACAACTGACTAGTAAAATCTGTCCTTGTGATGCTGTATTAAGTGAATGTTCATTCCAGATAAGCAAGGACTTGTTGATAGGTTGGGGCGAACAACACTGGAACAAAGCAAATCGACCCACATTCACTATACTAAATAAATCTTATTTATTTAAACCCATAAATAATGGTACGAAGTAGCGCCGAAAAAATTCTGAGACAATGGTACAATGAGACTATAAAGTGATAGAAGGCATGATGAAGAAAAAACAAATGAATGGTTGTAAGAAAATAATGGAAGAAGCAGTTCAGTTAAGAGAAGTTCCTCTCACTTATACGAAGTTAAATGAAGGTTACAACAGGACCACCGATGGCTTTTATCCTGAGACTTTTCTGAAAACATCTCAAGCCACTGTGCTACACTAGAACCCCAACCAGGGAGTCATGGATGTTTGACATATGCCAGTTATGTACAATTGTCTTTCATACCACGGCACTGTCATAAACTGACCACCGCTTTTTCGAACCAGTCTCAGCATCAGAAAATAATGTTTTGATATATATGCATGCATATCCTCTAAACCATCGAAATATGTTGCGAAGATCATAAACAATCAACAATTCGGGAAAAAAACAAGTCTTTATCGAGAAGCTAATTAAACCAATAGAAAATAAATGAATACTCCTCACAATTAACGTGAATTTACATTTTGGTGTACTTGTATAAGAAAGTATATAGGTAGGACTGAGAAAAGAAGTCCTGAAAATAATCCTAGAAACCAAATCTCACAATAAAACCAAGTCCTCACAAATAAAATACACAGGTCCTTAGTGTACGGTCGACACAATATGGTTATTTCATAGATAATTAAAAAAGAAAAACAATGAATACTAGATTTATCTCACTCCAAAGAATCTTTTTCAATCAAGATTACACTATAATTTATCTATATGAATGAAAGAATGATAAGCTGATATTGTAAAAGAAGAAAAGATACTAAAATAAGCTAACTATAACATAATCTTTTGTTTTTACCGACCCAGAAACTTTCATTCACTCGATAAAATTTATAGCACTTTTGGTAAGTTTATAATTTATGGACGAACCAATCAGGTCTCGGATTTTGGTGCGAAATTCACCCATTCATTTGGCTAAATAGTGTTTTGGCATTATAGCTGATGTTAGTTCGTGATGAAAACTCTAAATCTAATTCATAACCCTAACCATCAACTTCAAATC